ATATATATATATATATATATATGCATTGCAATTCATCTCCATTGGAAAGTTAAAAGCCTTAGATTATTTCTAGGTTTTTTAGTTTGTGCTAGACCTTGATATTTTCACTTGCACAAGGAGCGTTTATACTAATTTTATTTATGTTTTTTATATCCTCGAGAGTTGGTACATGAAATATGGATAATAATCTCAGGGATAGATTTTGGAATTAACTTTTATTTCATGTTTGTTTTGGATATTAGTTAATTTCGGGATAAACTTTTATACTAAAACGGTGCAATTAGCTATATGTTCCATTTAGAAAATGGGATATATATCTAATCCAATAAAATACATGGAATATGCTATCATTGTAATTTGTACCAAACGATGAGTTAATAGATTAGGTAAATCTTCTTGTTTATTTAATTAAACATTAGTTTTCTTTACTTTTTAAGTCTTTGGTTTAGGGAATTGTCATTTGCTCAAACAAATGGAGTGAGACCTCAACGAATATGATTTATAGTTACACAATAAATCTATAACTTATTATTTACAAATTTTAAAAGTTCTCATTTTATTTTTAAATGTCGTGTTCAGTCAAACATCTTTACATAAATTGGAATGAATGAACTAGCAAGGCACCAAACTACTCTCTAGAAACAAATTAAAATTACAAAACTACACTCGACTTGTCTCTGTGAAATAACTTTACCGCAAGATAATTTATACGAAACCCAAAAATATGTATATTAGTTAAATCATTTTGGAAATAAGAAGTTGCAAGATTAATTTCTGACCTTTTCGTGGGGTATACTGTAATTATTTAATGGAGTATGAATGTAAAGGTATATATGTTTATAATTATTTTGTTTTTATGGGGTATTTGCTTAGTTTCCCCTTTTTTATTTGGCCCACGGCCCGACCCAACTCACATCGCTCAAGCCCTACATGCTAGTGGGCTTTCCCGGGCTGAGCTAACAATCTCTATTTTTAAATGGACCTTAAAAATCTTACACCAACTCTATCAAATCTCAGGTTGGGTCAGGCTGGCCTAACGTCTTAGCCCTTATTGACGGCTCTACATTTTACTTGTTCAATTTAGAAAGCATGAACATTATATTATATTTCCCCCTTTCTATCCTTAGTATTATTATTATTATTATTATTATTTAATTAAACACCCAGTGGGCTACTTTTACTGAAAAAGTAAAAGGAAAATTACGCGGTTAAACAAACTTATACTACTTAATTACTCATCATAGTTATAATTTGCTATAATTACCACTCACGACTAACATTAACCACTAATTACATGGGTTGACTTCGAATTTGTATAATTAGCCACGTTTGTATATGTATAATTCGCCACATTTGTATAATTCACAACTAACAATTCTTTGTTTGATTTGTATTTGTATACGATGGTTTGTATTTGTATATGATGATGATTTCCTTTGGTTTTTCAATTTTGTCATCATATACATTCAATCTTTTTGTGTATAACTTTTTAAAGTTTGTATAAATGAGAAGTTTTTCGGATTTTGTATAATATAATTTATATAATGTAATTTGTATAATATATTCTGTATAATTGTTTAAAGTTCATGATAAGTTTATGTTTGTATCAATTCGTTATTTTGAGTTTTATTATATTCGTATAAATCCAGACTTTATATTACTCAATTATACAAAAATATGCGAATTATACACATGTACCTGCGAATTATACAAACGAGATGCGAATTATACAAATTATTGTCCTCTCTCACTCGCCTCTCTCCTCCCTCTCCCAATCTTGCTCGCTTCTCTCCTCCCCTCTCCCAATCTCTCTCGCCAGAATATACAAATACAGATGTATAATAAACAATTATCTAACCGATATACATATACAATTTACCTCTCCCACTCTTTTCCCTCTCTCTCGCCTCTCTCCTCCCTTCTCCCAGTCTCGCTCGCTACTCTCCTTCCTATAACATGTAGCTACGAATTGTAATTAGCAAACTATAGCTATAAAACATAATTAGACTATTTTTTAGTAGCTATATGCGAGATTTCCTCAAAAAGTAAACAGCAAAGGGTCAAATATGCCTCTAAACTATTCGAAAAGGACTAGATATACCCCCCGTTTAAAGTTTGGCTCACTCGTACCCTCGCCATCCAACCTTTCATCTAGATATGCCCTTATGGGCGTTAAATGCCAAATGAAATTGTCACGTCATTTTTACATTACCACGTGACATTTATATTAAAGGGAAAAGGGTCAAATATACCCCTAAACTATTCGAAAAGGTCTAGATATACCCCCTTTTAAATAAACTACCGGACCCGCTTTCAACAAAAAAAATTCGGTAAATCCCGAAAATGAGTAATTGACTAATAAAAAATAGGAAAAATATTAAAAAAAATATAAAATTAACGCCCAAAGATCACAAAAAAAAATAAAAAATTAACGCCAAAAGTTCACAAATAAATATAGTAATCTTAAATTCAACAATTTCAACAATTTTTTAAAATTTTTATTTTTTTTCGATAAACCCCGAAAATGAGTAATTGATTAATAAAAAATATGAAAAAACTATAAAATTAACGCCAAAAAATCACAAATAAATATAGTAACCTTAAATTCAAAAATTTCAACAATTTTTTATTAATTAGTTACACATTTTCAGAATTTACCGAAAAACTAAAACTTAAAAAATTAAAAAAAATTATTGAATTTAAGGTTACTATATTTATTTGCGAATTTTTGGCGTTAATTTTTTATATATTTTTTTCATATTTTTCCTATTTTTTATTAGCCAATTACTCATTTTCGGGATTTATCCAAAAATAATAAAAATTTGTTGAAAACGGGTCGGGTAGTTTATTTAAAAGGGGGGGTATATTTAGACTTTTTCGAATAGTTTAGGGGTATATTTGACCCTTTTCCCTTTAATATAAATATAAATGCCACGTGGTAATGTAAAAATGACGTGACAATTCCATTTGGCATTTAACGCCCATAAGGGCATATCTAGACGAAAAGTTGAACGGCGAGGGCACGAGTGAGCGAAACATTAAACGGAGAGTATATTTAAATCTTTTCAAATAATTTAGGGGCATATTTGACCGTTTTCCCAAAAGTAAAATCTGTACACAAATAGGTTCAGCCCATACAACCAAGACCCAAATTAAACAAAACAACAAAAGAAAAGACAATCAAATTTTAAAAGTTGAAAAGGACGGACAGAGGAAACCAAAGGGGCATCTAGATAACTTCGATGTCGATGTTCATGTTCAGAGGTGACTTTGACATCTTAAATTAGGTTTCCTTTCTTAGATCTATCATTCAATGGGTTAGAGTTCAAATTTTTTTGAGGTTTCTTCATAAAATAGGAATTACGTAAGCTTCCTGTACAGTTAGTGTAACCAATTGTTGATGCATCGAGCCTTTCTTCTTCAGTAGCCAAAAGAGGTAACTTTGAAACTTTTACTTAGTAGTATTACATAACTATGTTAAATAGTATTAGTCAAATTTACAATGTTAAAGTATCATAAATAAAGTTGATTTGGATTTTGTCCAGAAACAGTTTTGGGAAGAGCAATGGCGATTTGGGGAGGGTTTAGGTTCATCCCTAGGGGGGAAAATAAGGATTTCTGGGTGTAAGACCTTCAGAATGATTAATTTTGATTTGTTTATCATAATTCACTAGGTAACCATGAGATTGGTAGTTCTAGGTGAATTAAAGGTGGAAAATTCCTGGATTAATTAGGTGGGAAAATCACGAGTTTGACATGTGCTTTGGTATTATGATATAATCTGGGAATATATAAACCATTTGTGATTGTTTTGTATTGTGTTATTATTTCAGACCGAGAACAAGATAAACTTCACAATAGGAGGCGAAGTTCACGATCAGACTTCTATATCTTGGGGCCCAGGTAGGTTAGGCTAAACTGACTAGCTTCTATTTCATAATATTCTTATAGATTGACGGTAGGTTTCATGCCTAGACCTTTGGGCACAGAGTCTAGATGGTTGGAAACGTGTTAGTTATTGCTGTTTTTAGGACAAAAATATATTGTGTAGGTAATTATTATTCTCAGAAATAAAAAAGAATTCTCAGAAATGAATGTGTATTCATAATGGGGTCCAACATCGACCTTTTGTTGTAATGATTGATGTATAGTGTAATCTTAAGTTTTAAGAAATAATTTGGTAAACTATTGTTAAGGCTAAAACATGAAAAATATATATTTTTCTCTTTGATATACTAACAAAAATGACAATTAAAAATGAAAAAATAAAAGTGGATGAAGGAAGTAATTAATTTATTTTTGTCTTTTTTAATTTATTACGAAATCCAAAATCAGGTCAATTATATGAGCCATATATTAAGTAATTTCAAATTGTTTTAATGGAAAAGGGCCTAAAGTGTCGTTAAACTATGGGAGTTGGTATAAATTTACCTGCCATCAATCTTATGAGTGTGGACCGTTAGAAATAAAAGTATTTTTGAGCCAAAAGGTTGACACCATGAGTATTTGGAGGCCGAAAGGTGGATGGAGAATGAATTTATACCAATTCAGATAGTTAAGGGGTATTTTAGGCCCTTCTCCGTTAATAAAAAGGGATAATCTTTCTTGGTAAATGGGTCATCTCCTCAAAATTCTATTTTGTTGTACTCTCCAAGAAATAGCCACCATTTGCATCTTCAATTTCTTATTCAAATTTGAAAGAAGACAAGATGCTGTTGATGTTTGGTTTAAACGTTAAAGAGTAGTAAAGTAAAGATTAAAGCCTATAATCAATTTAAGCAAATAGATTACTCATATTATAATCAAATCAATGCTAGAAAACTATATGTGCATTGAAAGCCAATTAGTCTCTAAATTTCTTTCTTATAGACCCACTTTAATTCATTCAAATCTAACTTACTCTTTTTTTCTTCTTTTAAGAATTAAAATAAAACTCAAAATCTGTAAGTCCTTTATCCATTAGAATTATAGTACATAAAAATAGTATTGACTCCTTAAATCCTTATATTTGTATATATGTGACTTGTGAGTTTCTTCAATTTTCTTTTCGTTCTTGTTCATCAATCATCGTTATTTGGCATCTCAAATCTCTCTGCATTATGTAAGTATTTTTTGCTATTCTATTTTAAATTATTACGTGCTTGAAATTTTATTTTTGTTTGTTCATAATAATTTTTTTTTTCTATTGGCTTGTTACAGTAGTGAAACAATTTAGAATTCATTAAATTGATTACAATTGTCCGTAATTGTCTATTATTTGATCCTCAATTACTAATTGTGCAGATCACATCATATTAGTCTAAATTTAATGCAGAGGTATTATTCTAAAAAAATCATAAACATTCAAAGTCAATCTTAACAACTCAAGCTTCAACCGACTTGGAAGAACAAGCCAATTAGTCAAAGTCAATCGTATTTATTTGCAATCAATCTGTTGAATAATGTTAGTATAAAATTTTATTTAATAATATGAAGATGTGAGTGTTTAATTTAAAATTTTGAAATATTATCTAATTTAAAGAGTAGGTAATTTTTTTAATTTAATCAAATTTTTATAATTTTAAGAAAAATATATTTCATAAAGTTCACTATTAATGGGCCCTAAAATTTTTGGAGGCCTAAAGCAAAAGTTCATTGATTTTTTTTTGAGTCATTCTTATCTCTTAAATGGTGACACCGCTTAGAAAAAATCCTGCGTACGCCACTATATATATATATATATATATATATATATACACAATACATAGGTGCTGTAGGATGACTTTATAGCCACTTAATTACTTTGGATATGCTAGAAAAATTGTTTTGTTTAAACCAAATTGGACACCTAAATTTAGAAGGAAAGTGAATAAAAAAAATACTACATTTAGCTCCTAGTGATGTAACAGTTGTGTTAACATTATAAGCTTTAACATGCTTAATCTATAAAATTATATCTAATCACGTACAATTTTATATAGCAATGTAGTAAAAGAAATACTATATTTAACTCGTTTCTACTATGTCTCGTGGATATCCAACGTTAACGTGAATCACGTGACACATGAATATTGAAAGTGTCTAAATGATCATTTTGTAAGTTGGCCAGAGTGTTCAATTGAAACAATAGAAATGAGTATACATCCTCAAAGTTAGAGTGTTTAGTTGTCAATTGAAATCGAGATGTTGACAGCAACTAAAAGGTTAATTCTTCAATATTTTAAAGAAAAATAAAAACATATCACATAAATTAAGATGTCACGAATTGCGAATACATATCAACTGAATAATCACCACATTATTCTAGTTTATCACCCATAAGCTGTGCTATAAAACCTCTTAATGGTGCAAACATTAAGGATTTTTAGTAACACTTTGTTGCTAGTGCATCTAGGAGTCTTGAATTGACTCAATGCAGCCCCATTTCCTATGTAATATTCCAATATTTTCTTGAAAGTGCCTTTCTCTACAATGCATAGCTCTAATGGACCAATTGATTTTGTTCTTCTTGACACAACATAACCATGATCTACAAACGAAGCATCCATATCTCTACAACACTCATCGAGTACCTTTTCATCGATTTCCCCTTTGATTTCCCAATAAATTACATAGTGACCGGGTTGCTTTGTCACGTTTGCATGGCTCGTGAAATCTACTAGCTCGGCTCGTTTTGTGCCCTTGCTTAGTATCTTTGAGCCTCTCTCCACTACTAACTGGAGGTCTTTTTCAGTGTTCTTATCGATGTTTACTGTTAATATCAGGTTTCTCCTGCATATGAAGTTGAGTTTAGGGGTTTTATTGTAAAAACCATCCACTTCTACCACATCCCCTAATCTATATCTATAAAGACCTGCAAGTAGCGGTTCAAATAGTTAAAAGAGAATTCAATGAAGTATACAAAGTAGAAATGATGATAATATAAAATAGGAATTAGTTATTTATAAAACTAGTTGTTAATATGTCGTTAAATAGAATTAGTCACAATTTTGTGTTCAACGACATAGGTGGGAGGCGGACTCATGATTTGAAAGTAATTGAAGTACTAGTACTGGTATATGGCTAAAAAAATAATGTTGTGTTGAATATTTGCCATTTGTGCACCCTATGCCAACATAACCAATTATTCAATCTTTGTGAATGAGGGTGTTAATCAAAATATATACCTCATATTTAATATATATTATTATTATTATTAATGTTTTTTTTACGGGTCACGTGAGTCATGCGACCCCTTACCCTAAGGGTAGGTCCGCTTCTGTATGTAATTAAGTACGAAATTTCATAAATATTTAATTTTGAACTAGTACACAAAAATCTTAAATGTTGAACTCATAAATTTTAATTCTGAATCTGATATGTGATATTTATATGCATGTAGTAACAAAATTGACAAAATAAATATATTTTACGTACCTGTAAAAGTTGTTAGGACGATTTCATATTGCTGTCCATTCTTGACTTGACATAAGGGCACAGGATTACCTTCTATGTAATCATCATTTGTTGAAGTAATATTTCCATTTTGGTAATTATAATTTAACTTGTGCCTAAAAAGGGGTATAAACTCAAAGTAAGAAAAAGTTGGTATAACTGCAAAACTAACTTTTTCTGGTGGATTAGATGGATCCACATTAACTCCAATCCAACTTTCAGTGGATCCATAATCAGCACTCACTAGAGGTAATTCCCCTGCATAATGTCTTAATTTTGTTAAATATGGCATCATTGATCCTGTCATTATTGAGTAAATATACTTAGCATTTGGCCATAATTTTGGGATTATGCTATACCAATCTGCCCTTTCCAGCTCCACACAAATTGATTCAATTCTTGAAGCCAACTCTGGATTAGGCTGAGTGATATCTGTTGAACACATAATGAAATAATTAAAAATGTATTATTTTTGTAATAGTTTAAATTTTTAAGTGAGATAATAACATACTTCAGTATTCATATAACAATAATTATGTTTGTCTCAAAGAATTTTCACGTGCTAGACCAAAGAAGAAAGAGTGAGGCATGTAAGGGGCGAGTTGAAGACATATATAATGAAGTAATTAAAAATGTATTTTTTTCGTAACAATTTAAGCTTATAATTGAGTTAGTAACATGTATACTTCAACATTGATATCAGAGTAGACTAATAATCTTCTGTTCAAGTCTCACTGCCACTCATTATTAAAAAGAATGTTTACGTACTAATCCAAAGAAGAAAGAGTGTGGCACGTGAAGAGGTGTGTTGAAGACATATATAATGAAGTAATTAAAAATGTACTTTCTTCAACAAGTTCAAGCTTTTAGATAAGATGTCAAACCTACTATACATAGCACACTAATTAATGATCTTCTGTCCAACTCTCAACGTCACTCATTATATTTTAAAAAGAATTTTTACGTGTTAGGCCAAAGAAGAAAGAGTGGGGCACGTGAGGGTACGTGTACAACACATAACAAAGTAATTAAAAATGCACCCTCTTCAATAGTTTAAACTTTTAGATGAGATAATAACGATACCTGACACGGATTTTCGGACTTTATCTATGTTGATTCTTGAGCTAAGACTGCCTTCCCTAATGTCATGGCACAATTCCTTCCACATTTCTTCAAATGATCTAAATGCTTCAACTATGCTATAAGCAAAAGTTGATGTAACAAATTCAACTTCATGTGAAAAATATAAGCCAAGAAGGAGGTGACAATATGTTGATTGTTTATAATCTCCACATGAAATAACTTCTTCAGGGCTACAAGTGAATGACTTTGTTTGTTGTTGTTTAATCTTGAATTCATCACTAGCATAATAGTGTGTTGTGGCTGTTCCTGCTATTATTCCTCCTTTTGTTTTACATTGTTTGCTACTGTATATAAATTCAAGAATTCTTCCTCCTCTTCTTATTGGATATATCCTGTGACACCCCACCATGCAAAATTAAGACAAAAATCAGTAAAATTTAAGAATAATTAACTCATGATGAAAAGATTTTGTTTGGTCAAATTTTCAAAATCTGCTTTGCAGAAAAAAAGTAATACTGTATTAGGGAATAATATTTTTAATATAGCAATTATTTTGAAAAACACGTCTGCGATATGATTAATAACAATTTATGTCTGACCAAGATATCAAAAGTGTTTATGGAAATAAGCTATTATTTTCGCGCTCCGAAAAGCAGTGTCTGCTATTACTTAAAAAAATTATGTTTTAAACTAAAAGTTTGATCAAATAATTCAACAACAATCCAAGATATCAAAAGTGTTTATGGAGATAAGCTATTATTTTCACGCTATGAAAAACAGTGCCTGCTATTACTCAAAAAAATTATGTTTTTACCTAAGAGCTTGCTCAAATAATTCAACAACAATTTATGTCTGGCCATGATATCAAAAGTGTAATGGAGATAAGCTATTATTTTCACGATCTGAAAAATAGTATATGCTATTACTCAAAATAGTTATGTTTTTACTTTAAAGCTTGATCAAATAATTCAACAACAATTTATGTCTTGACCAAGATATCAAAAAGTGTTTTCGGAGAAAAGTTATTCTTTTCACGCTCTGAAAAATAGTTTATGCTATTACTCAAAAAACTTATGTTTTGCCTAAAAGCTTAATCAAATAATTCAGCAACCATTTATGTCTGACCAAGATATCATAAGTGTTTTCGGAGAAAAGTTATTCTTTTCATGCTCTGAAAAATAGTTTCTGCTATTACTCAAAATACTTAAGTTTTTCCTAAAAGCTTGACCAAACAACTTAATTCTCTAAAACAAACACTTATACCAATATTAGAACAACAATTTATGCTTAACCAAAGTTCCAAAAATATTTCTTTTTCAGCTTCCAAAAACACTTATTTTTAATTTCACTAAAAACTTGATCAAACACTTAAAAATCTCCAAAGCTTGTATATTCATCATACCTTGATCTATATGCTGCAGCCAACTTGAAAATCTGAAGAGTAGTTTGAGAGCTATGTTGTGTAAAGGGCACAAATTTTTGTCTTCCCTCTGTGGTTCCAGAACTAAACATTGTTTCCACAACCAATAAAATATCATTAAAGGCATATAAGTTAATACAAACTTCAACTTTTATTTAGAAAAAATAATAATTGCTGGGGTCTCTCATTTTATTGCATTATTACTTAGTCCCTATTACTTAATTATTAGTGAAAGAAACAAAGTAATTTGATTTGCCAAATTAAGGCCCAAAAGTATGCTCCACAATTAAAGTAAACATGTATAAACTAAGGAGAACAAAAATACTATAAAAATAAATAAATTTATTAGCTACATTGCTCTTAGCCTAACAGTTTTGACATGATAATCCGTCGTTGAATAAGATTAGTGACGAATTTTGTTGTTTAACTACAAAGATGTCCGTCGCTAATTCATGTTACTTCTTTTTTCTTTTGAGGGGTAGAGGGAGATATGGTGTTATTGGAAGCTCCACCTTATCAATAAGGTGAAGGTATGGACAACTCTTCAACTGAGCTACGTAAACGCTCCATTATAGAAAGAAGGTGTGGACAACTCTCCAACTGAGCTACACTCCCCATTATAGAAAGAAGGTATGGATAACTCTCCAACTGAGCTACACACCCCACTATAGAAAGCGCGATTTCAAAGGAAAGGTGGACAAATTTTTAAAAAAACCTCACCTTAAGGACAGATTTGTAATGGGTTGTTGAGTGAGTAGAGGAGTTGTATCTCCATCAGCAATTCTCTTTGTAAAAGGCTCAATATCTGCATGAGAAGCAAGAGGGACTAAAGAAGCATAAATTGACTCCAATACATTTTCATCAATTTCTTCAATTTTAATATCTCCAATCCATTTCTTGAGATACTCCACCCCATGGTTTAGTTCGAGAATTCGCCGAAGCGTCCGCCGTTGTACAGCGGCGGAATCCTCAGCGACTTCATCGAACCATCCTATGATGTCTGTTTCTATTTTATCCTTACAATTAATATTCATCATATTTTGCTAGGCCAAGGGGGCATGCAGCCAGCAGGAAGGAATTATATGTAATGTTGTTGAAAAAATAATAAAACTATATAATATAATGTTGTTGTTGGGAAATGATTTGCATTATTTGCTTGCTTTTAAAATAATTGACTACACATGACTAGACAACTGTTTATATTGGAATTATTTAGAAGCTAGCTAGCTAGCTGTCAACACCAAAAATTTAAAGTCTCACTTATATTGGAATTAATTACTTCATCTATAAAAATGATATTCCTTAGGTTTCACTTTTTTAAGTTATAGTTTTGATTGGACACTAAATTCAAAAAAAGTTGAAGATTTGTTTTATAGTAATGAAATATATCATAAGAATATGTTATTCCTTTCTAAATGAACTAATAACAAAATGGGGGAAGGGAGGAAGGATGTTTCTTTCTAACGAGATTAGGGCATGACAGCGCTCCTCATTATGAAAAGTATTTCAAAGTATATATAGTTGATATTGAATTTTTTGACTACAACTTATGTTTACTTTTTTATTCTAAATCATCTTAGTTGAAAATCTTGATTCTGCTTCTGACATATGCCTACAAGTTTATCAGCACCCAATAACTTTGATTCTGATCTTATTTATGTATGTATTAATAAATAATTAATTCAAACTCCAATAATTTACCTTTTCTAAAAGTCAAAATTACTCATAGTTAGTCGTCAGCCAATAAGTAGAGCAAATCGGGTCAATATTTTGAGTCAATGAACTCTCAATTATTTATACACATTAAAAAAAATAGAATACAAACATATAGATTTGGCTCCCCTCCATTACACTTTCCCTCCATTTCGTCAAGTACACTTCTAGATGAGAGATATGTGTCCTATTCAATTTTTAAAGGTCAAGATTATAGTATATTAATTAGCATTATAACCATAGTTAAGTTAACAAATTTTGGTAAACTATTCTCCAAATTTGATAAGAACAAACTATTCCACATAAATTTTAATATCCATTAATATCATTATTTTCATCTTATATTTTATTATTTAAACATTAAACTATGCGATATTTAAGATGAGAATCGACCAAAAAAAATTTTGTGCCAATAAAATTTATTTTTGAAATATTATGTTGAGAAACAAAAAAGAAGGTGAAAAATTATCAATGTTGACAAAAATTATAAAATAAAAGAACGGGAAATAAAAATAATAATAAAAAAGTTGAGATGTTATCAAGATTATAAATGTGAAATATCAAAATTCTAAAGTTTAGGAGAAAGCGTTGCTACTGTGTTTGAAGAAGAAGAAAAAAAAGAAATATATATGTTTTTTAAAAAATATTCTTTTATCTTCTTCGTTATTTTTTGGGAATTTTGAAAACATATTTAAAGCCAAAATATTTTTGAAGATTGTTATTTATCACACTAAATAAAAATATTGTTAGATTCATGTTCTACTTTTTAATTTTTGAATATAAAAATAAAAGATGAAATTAATGATATTAATAAATATTAAATTTGTGGGGAATATTTTGTTTTTATCAAATTTGGAGAATAGTTTTTCAAAAAAATTGTTGACTTAACTATGATTATGATACTTATTAATATACTGTAATCTTAAACTTTAAAAATTAAATCAAACACATGTCTCTCAAGTCTAGGAAAAATGTAATAGGGTATCAAGTTTCTAGACTATGCAGCCCACATGCATTATGAAATATCACTGTCTCCAAAAATAGAGCAACCCCCCAAATCTCTTAAAAAAGAAATGTGTACGAATTCTTTATGAACGTAGGATTTTTCTTTCATCAGATTTCTTTTAGGAATTGGATGGAGATAAGAGTATCTATAGTATAGATATGGACCAAGAACCATAAATTTGACAGTTGTATATGTTATTTTCCTCGTTTCAATTTGTTTCATCTTACTTTTTTTTTAATCTATTTTTTAAAAAAACGCCTCTTTCCCTTTTTAGGAACTCTTTCATTCCAACTTTACACATGATGACATGTTTGATTAAGATTACAAGATTCAATTTTTATTTTTTATTTTCTTATACTTCGTATCAATGCAAGTCAGAGCCTTGACTTTAGGTTAGGCCGGTCTCATCATTCACGCAATTCCCCCGTCCATCGATTGATCATGCGAGTACGCATCCAGTCAGCGCGAAACCCCCCTCTGCCCGCATCCCTGGAACTTGCTTTGCTTTTTGCTTTAAAGACCCCGCCTGCCGTTTGAGTGATTCATAAACCCTCGTCGGGATAAACAAGCTGCCGCTTTTCCCCGTCCGAGAATCTCCATCTGCTCTAAGTGGGCGCGAGCTAGAATCCTTATGTCAGCTTGGTTGTTCAAAAGACTGTGAAAAAGGAAAACGGAAAGATTGAGCATAAAAAAATATAGAGAATGAGCTATTACGTGCAAACAATGGAAATTCAATAATAAGAGTCTGATCTTCTCGCTTAAGAATATGCGATTCCTCCGGAGTGAAGTTGTTGGGGGCTTCGCTTATCGTATGTATCAGCTTGGCTTCGTCCCGAACCAAGGAGGCATTCTGGCGGACGCATGCGTGTAGGAAGGCCGACGACTACCATCTAATTCAAGAACAAGCCCTTCTCAATGTCCTGCCTCTATCTCAATAGCTTTCAAAATCGAGTGATTTGATTAGCTTACATCGGAGGATGGTCTAAAGCTGGCCCGTTCCTTCCTGTTCCCAGAGCTGAGGCATTGTAGTGCAGCTCCTGCTGAAGGCTGCTTTGTTTGGGAAGACGTGCTCTTGTTGTTTTCTTGCTGCTGCGGCCTCAATACAACTCATACTGTCACACCGGCAAGGACTTTCACTTTCTAAATAGAAAGGAAGAGGTCAGGCCCACCTTTCACAAGAGTAGGTTTCTTGTTCCCGCGCCCCCCTGGTACCGAGACCCCCGGTAATCTCTTGCAGGGCGCACAAGGCAAGGCCCTTAGTCTTACCTCATGCAGTTTCTGCTTTCTTGTTGGCTTGGCGGTGCTTTCCTTCCTCTGTGGAGAGAAGACAGAAAAAGGATGTTTCCCCGCTTTCCGTCCGTCGTGTATTCCCCCTTATGTCTTCTGTAAGAACGAGAGGGATGGGCTCCCCGCTAACACTTTTTCAGATATTCCCCCTTCCAAGGACGCTTTCTCGAGCCTTTTTCCCTCATCCCTTTTGGTTTGGGGACGACAAGTACTTCGTCTCGAGTAGGACACCGGTGATCTCTACATTCACCTATGTAATTTCGAAATCTGCTTTCAAGCAGCTCCGGGAGAGTGGACTAAAAAAAGGAGAAGCGTCATGCGTCATGCTTTTGTAGACCAGCTAGTATACATTAAAGAAAGTGGCTTCCTCAATTAAACTAGCTTCCTCATCTTCTCTTCCCCCCAACAACTTCACTCCGGAGGAATCGCATATTCTTAAGCGAGAAGATCAGACTCTTATTATTGAATTTCCATTGTTTGCACGTAATAGCTCATTCTCTATATTTTTTTTATGCTCAATCTTTCCGTTTTCCTTTTTCAGTCTAAAAGGAAAGCGAAGTGACTATCCGATGATAGTCACGAGCGCTTAGAGGTATGAAGTTAAGCGAATCTTACTATCTGAAGGAGCTTAGCTTCTTAAAGGACTCTTAATAAAGAAAGCTTTTTTTAAGAAAGCAAGCCTTTCAAGTAGGGCTTGAAAGAAGGCAGGCGATCCGATCAGAAGATAAAGAAGATAGACGAGAAGATAAGGGGCGAAGGACTTTTAGAAATCCGATCGGTGTAAACATGATATAAATTTTTCTTTGTCCTTTCTTAAGAGACTCCGGACGCTCCTTGTCCTAAGCCCCAAGCATCCGGTTACCTTTGCGGATCTCCGCCGCCTGCTTTTGCGCTATTGTTACTTACGACGTCTCTTCTCTTACGCAATTCCTGACTAGTTGTAGTTTTTCTAAGGACCGGAATAAGAGGTTTCAGCTTTTCGGGGTATTTAACATAACGAATAATTCTTTATTGGAAAAGTCTCAAAATTGCAAACAATTTTGATCGGTATTCAACTAAGGGCCCCGTTAAGTAAGATGGGAGCCAATACAAAGCTAACAAGCTTTCTTAAACGGGAACCCTGATCTAGATACAGTAGGATCAATTGAGTTAGCAAATCTAATGTGCGTACAAGCATCCTTTTCCTTTTATTTTGGAATTTGGCACTATTTAAATAAAAAATAACCTACAATAAGGTTTTCTTCCTTAAACACTAACCCGGCCAAGACTCACCAATAAGGTAACTCCGCCCTGTGTTTTTTGGATCAAATCCGGTGACAATTCTCCACTCATGTCCTTCCAGAGCTGGGTAAGTGATCTTCAAGGGCATCTCCCCGATCCATTCTTCCCAGCGCCCCTCAATCAAATCCATAACTGCTGTTGCTTGTGCAGGAGTAACTAGAGAACTTCAAATTGCAATAAAAAAGTTGTCAACTAAGAAAGACCGGAAGTCCATGCGAGCCGGGCTGATATTAACCAAAAAGATACCCTCCTCAAAAGGGCCTGAAATCAAAGACCCAGTCAGGGATAGAGTTGAGAATGACATTAAAATTGAACAACTGTGTAGGAGTACTAATAAGTTTTGTAAGGGTATAGTTTATTTAATTGAGTGAAATTAGGCCAGTAGTCTTTCTGAATGTGATAGCTGAGAACTGTGAT